CCCCCCCCCAGTAGACCAGGGAGCCGCGGAGCCGCTTTTCTCGCCCCGGAGGACGCGGGCGGCGGGACCGTGGCGCGTCTGGGCGGTCCTGCCGCCCGTGTCCTCCAGGGCAAGAAAAGCCCTGTTCATAAGTGCGGATCCGACATAAGTATATATTTCTTGCTGAATCAGAATGAAAGCTGTTACCCCAGTCGTATTTGCCAGTGTTCTAGACAATTGCAAGGTATGTCTAAAATGAATAAGGTTCTGAGTAAAAGCCCATTGAAGTTCAGTGGGTTTCGAATCAGGACTTATCTAAAGTAAATGAGTTTAAATACTGATTCATTGATCTGGGGTATGTCTTTAAAATGAACGTAAGATTGAGTGAGTGACTTACATAGTGATATGAATGGAAAAAGTCTAAAAAAAAGGAATTTGGTTCAAGTTTCACTTTTCTCTGCTTTCATTAGTTGTGGTTCTTCTCTTGTCACATACAACAGCACTAATTACCTGGTTATTGCTTTGTTTTCTTTATCATTTGTAACTTGAAGAATCGCAACAGAAATGCCCTACCTGCTTGAAGAACTTTGCCCTAAAATATCTTATTTGGGACTCTTGTCCACTGTGGTTGAGAATCAAGAAAAAAGTGGCAATTTTAATAATGGATCCGTTTACTGACCTCACTATCACACTGTGCATCGTGGTAAATACTGTCTTCATGGCACTAGAGCACTATAACATGACACAAAATTTAAAATCCATGATTAAAATAAGCAACATGGTAAGTGAATTCTAACAGTTTCTATCAAGAATAAACGTGTGTGTATTTCTACCCAGGATACAAAGAATGGTTATAAGAAAGAAAGATTCATTCATTTATTCTTTCTGTCTATTAATTTTCAGGATATGGGATTCCCAAATGTTACTGTTGTTTCACAATTGTTCTAAACATTCTTTAGAATAAGAGCAGATAAGTCTAGAATATTTATTGAAAATACATTATATAAATACATGGTAAAAGTAGAGTTTGCTATTCAGCTTTTATTGATGTACCTCTTATCTATGCTACTATATTTGTGGGAGGAATTTTCTAGAGAATTGTGCCCCAGGAACTTTTAGTCTGATATGACTTACTGTTTCTATTGTAACAGATCTTCACTGGAATTTTTACTGCAGAAATGATCTTGAAAATCATTGCTCTAGATCCCTACTACTATTTTCAGCAGCGCTGGAATATTTATGACAGCTTAATTGTCACGGTTAGCTTAATTGACCTGAGTTTACGCACCAAAAGTAAAGGAAGAAAAGGACGAGGAAACCTGTTAGTTTTACGTACCTTCAAACTGGTAATGACTCATATATATTCAGTCTCATAAAACTTTTTGCATGAATACAATAGCGAGTATTTCAGTTCCTCCATTCACTGTAAGGAAAATTCATTTCTGCACCCACATATTAGGAACTGGAAACTCATTTTGTCTAATTTCAAACCCATTTGAAAGCTTGAGAAACTAATATAACATTTGTATTTCACTCTGGGATGGTTTGAAAACATGGAATGAAAGGAGCAAAAGGAATCCAGTATCAAAATGTAGTGAATGTTGGAGCAGAGAATGAAAAGAATGAAAAACAAATTCAGAGGCACTGAAAAGAAATGGAGGAGAAAACATTAATAAAAAGACATGTGCTATCCTAGATTTTAGGAGGTGGATGATACACTACATCATAGTCTTCTTTTTTGTTAGAAACACTTTAAAAAAAAACAAATCAAACAACCTTTGGAAAAGTGTGATTTTTAAATTTAAAGTGAAAATGGTGTGCAAACCCTAACCTGTTTTGTAAATCATATAAACCCCTGAAATAGTATTTCAGGTTTATGAAATCTTCAGGATGAATAGTTCCCTTTCATTACCTCAGTTTGGTTAGGAATGGAATGTTGTTATTCTTCATATTGACTATTGCAACAATATAATCTCCAGCAACAATATTTGGTGTTGTCAACTAGTTCATTCTCCTCCAATGTACCTTTGCAAGTTGTTCTTCTGCCAATCAGATATTATCACGGAAAGCAGCTCCTGAGGTGAAAATATTATCAAAATTCAAGGAGTGGCTGACAAGAAAGGTAAATCATGTGATGGACTCTGGTTTACTTTTGAAAAGTTAGACATCTGACCCTGACGTAATGTCTACACAGCAGCATTATTTCGGAATAACATCAGTTATTCCAAAATAAGAAAGAGCATGTCTACAAAGTAAGCCATTATTTTGAAATAATGTCAAACTGAAGGATTTCTTACTCCTACTCTTGTAACCTTCATTTTACGAGAAGTAAGGGAAGTTGAAAGAAGAGAGTTCTTCTTTCTATTTCCTGTTGTGTAAACAGCGCCAAAAGCCGAATTAAGCTATTGTGACTTCAGCTACACAATTGACGTAGCTGAAGTTGTGTAGCTTAATTTGACTTATGACCTTCTGTATAGATGTGCCCTGAGAGAGGGAAAAGAGAGAAAGAGAGAGAGAAAAAGATGTGAACCTCTGGCTGTGTCTAGACTACATGGCTCCATCGATAGAGCCATGTAGATTAGACAGATAGGCAAAGGCAACTGAAGCCGCGATTTAAATGATCGCGGCTTCATTTAAATTTACATGGCTGCTGCGCTGAGCCGACAAACAGCTGATCAGCTGTTTGTTGGCTCAGCGCGCTAGTCTGGATGCTCCCCTGCCGACATCAAAGCCCTTTGTCGGCAGCCCCGTTATTCCTCGTGGGATGAGGTTTACCGGGGCTGCCGACAAAGGGCTTTGATGTCGGCAGGGGAGCATCCAGACTAGCGCGCTGAGCCAACAAACAGCTGATCAGCTGTTTGTTGGCTCAGTGCGGCAGCCCTGTAAATTTAAATGAAGCCGCGATCATTTAAATCGCGGCTTCATTTGCCTTTGCCAAAAAAACAAATCTACATGGCTCCGTCGATGGAGCCATGTAGTTTAGATGTACCCTCTCTGATAAACAGTCTCAGGCTAAGCTCATTGTTTTATAGTGCTGACATGAAAGAATAAAGGTGCTTTACCTATTCTACAAACTGTCAGGGTGCGCTAGACTGGCAAGATTTTACGCAAAAGTGGCTGCTTTTGCGCAAAAACTTGCTGCCTGTCTACACTGGCTGTGAGAATTTTCACAAGAACACTGACTTCGTAATGTACAAAATTAGTGCTTCTTGCGCAAATACTTTGATGCTCTCACTCAGGCATAAGCCCTCTTGCGCAAGAATACTTGCGCAAGAGGGCCAGTGTAGACAGGAACGTTAATTTCTTGCGCAAGAAAGCCTGATGGCTAAAATGGCCATTGGAGCTTTCTTGCGCAAGAGAGCGTCTACACTGGCACGGATGCTTTTGCGCAAAAGCAAATCTTTTGCGCAAAGGCACATGCCAGTATAGATGCTCTCTTGTGCAAATACTTTTAACGGAAAAATTTAAAACAGAGACTCAGAGTTATTTTTGTGCATAACTGTTTGGAGGATTGGTGCTTGTGTGGTGGTTAGATGGACAAGTGGGGATATAACATACATTCTCACTAAAGTGTTTTTGGGATGTTTCCTAAACACCAATTTAGGAACTGCATCTCTGTTCCAGAAAGTACTTAAGGATGTGTTTAATTTACAACACATACTTAAGTGCTTTCTCAAATAGGAACGGATTTAAGTGTTCATGTAAGTGCTTTTCTGAATTGGGATTTTAGCTGGTATTTGTAATTTGTTTGAAGGTATCTCATTTTCTCCCAATGCACAGAAAAGTATATGATGGAGCAGGGCTACTCAACTTTGGAAGCCCTGGGGGCCACAATGATACTCACAGCACATGCCGAGGGCCGCAACTTAAGTGTGGTTGCATATACATGCAAATATATATGCAAATAGCTTCTGTCACACTGATGGGCATGAATACAGAAATTAAAGCAAACTACACAACATGTAGGCCCCATTTAAGTCAGTTCTGCTGATATTAATAAAATGCAATATTTACCTGATTTCCACCCATCTGACAGCACTTTTAATGAGCAATGACAGTTCAGGTATTCAACAACTAAAATGCATATCACCAGAAGACTCACCATTGTGGAGTGTGTTATCAGTGGAGGTCATGTTCAAAGGATCCCACCTGCAGGCTGCGTGTTGAGCCCCATGTAAACCCAAACTGCATTGTGGCCCACAAACAAATGGGCCAGGAGCCGCATGTGGCCCACGGGCCGCGTGTTGAGTAGCCCTGTGATAGAGGCACACATATTTCCATGTATTTATTTCCCCCTTTGCTCAACCACTACTATTGCCACCTTGTCAATCATACTTGTTGCTTCTTCCTCTTTGTGGTAACGTTTTCTTTTTCATTAATTAGGATTTCTCAAAGAGATCCTATAAGAATTTTATTCTTCAGGATTGGAGATCTACTATAACATTTATCTTTGAAGAACATTACTTACCTATTTTTATTCTCTAAATGCATTGTAATATGGTTATAATAGATCGTCATTCACCAACTCAGAATTATAAGATTTTATCATTTTTACCATTTTATTTTCAAAATGGCAAAGAAGGAACTGACTATTTAAAAGATTATGGGCTTTGGAACCTGACATTTACCAGAGGCAGAGATCTCAAGAGTCATAGAATGTTATAATGTCTATAAATACAAAGAACAAAGAATTACAGATAAGTAATTATCTTTCTGCATCAGCACATAGACCCTGGTCAAGCAAAATCCTACAATTTTAAGCACTGAAGCTACATGCTTAAAATTAAGTATGATTCATGTGGCTTGCTGGCTTGGTGTGTTTGATACTGTGGTGACAGATGCTATAAAAACTTATGATAGATTGTTGGCTTGATTTACAGAGGTGCTGAACAGCTATAACTCCTATTTAAGTCAATGGGAATTCTGTATGCTCAGCACCTCTAAAATTCAACACATTTGCATGTAAATATTTGTTATTGAAAATGAAAATAAAGTAGTGATTATGATAAGCAGGAACTTAAGTTCTAATTCTAGAAGATATGAAAATACAGAAAGAAAGAAACTCCAATGAGAGGTAGTAATAAATTGCTAGTGATACAGTAAATTTTATGTTATAGAATTGTGCAAAGACCACAACCAGGATTGTTGTGTCACTGTGCTAAAAGACACATGGATGAAGAGAAGGGAACAAAGAAATAAAATATTCTGCATTTCGTAGTGTTTGAGTAATCTGAAATGTCTGCATAAAAAAGATAATGAGGAATATCTAATTGTCTGTTGTCTAATGCTATGTTTTATGTTTATACACAGCTAAGGGTCTTCAAACTGGCAAAGTCCTGGACAACTTTGAATACACTTATTAAAATCATTGGTAACTCAGTGGGTGCCATGGGTAACCTCACCTTGGTTCTGGCCATCATAGTCTTTATTTTCGCTGTGGTCGGAATGCAACTTTTTGGGAAAAGCTACAAAGAGCATTGCCATAAAATGAGTGAGGACTGCAAGCCACGTTGGCATATGATGGATTTTTTCCACTCGTTCCTTATTGTATTCCGAATTCTGTGTGGAGAATGGATTGAGACCATGTGGGATTGTATGGTGGTAGCTGGGCAACCATTATGCCTTGTTGTCTTCTTGCTGGCCATGGTGATAGGAAACCTCGTGGTGAGTTTCCAGATATGTTTCTCTTTTTATTACATGTACAGTATAAAATATACTGACTTATAGAGACAAGGTAGTTGAGGTAATAAGTTTTATTGAACCAACTTAAATTTATGAGAGAGATAAGCTTTCAAGTTTCTGCAGAGATCTTCTGGTCTGGATTCAGCAGACCAGAAGGAGAGCTCTATGTAAATTCAAAAGTTTGTCTCACTCACTAACAGAAGTTGGTCCAGTAAAAAATAATACCTCACCCACCCTGTCTCACTATTTTCCGGGGACCAATAGGACTACAAAACTGCACAATATATTGACTTGTCTTTCTATGTATGGTAAGTCTGCTAGAGATGGTGGCAATGTGGCCACCCCAACTCTGCTGTGTCCAGTAAATCCCATTTGCCTTTAACCTTCAGAACTCACACTCATATTTAAAGTAAGATGCTTTCAATATTGCGTCACCAAACCTTTTCACAGGTCAATATTCATTCCAAAGTGGAGCAATTTTCTATCAGAAAAAAGTTATCAATAATTTTCCTTTTAATCTCAAGACTCTGGGGAAATAATCATTAAGGTCTGAATACTCAAAAATATTTAAGCTCCAAATGTCTATTTCAGATCCTAACATCTGTTGAAATCAGTGGAAGTTTGAAGTTTTTGATAAATAAAAATAGAAGTTAGTCTCTTAACTTCTATGTATTTATAGTTTCCATCCATTTCAATTGGAATTAGAGTCCTAAATAGAAGTTTCTGACTCCTTCTGAGCATGAAGCCTTAAGTGTTTGTATCACAATCTGTTTTTTGTTAAAGAACTTGTTTCTCTTCTGAGCTCTTTGCAGGCAGTCCCTGCACTCACACCTGAAGCCACTGAATGGATAGCTCAGTGCAGGCTCCTAGTTCAGTTCTCTTTAGATGCAAGACATCTGATCTTTTTCTTATCCTAAGCTAAATCAGAAATAAAATACACTGAAGTCAATTAACCCTACTGTAAATAAGGTTTCTGAGAGAAAACTAACTCTCAGATGAAGTTTTCATATCCAATAGGGTTTTGAATTATTGTGGGCTTTCTGTGAACCAGTGGAATCTTTGTTTTTAAACAAATATTAAGAAGTGAACATTGTAATTTGTGGAAATAGTAAAAATTGTAATCTAAAAGTAAGGATGAAAGCATTTATCAGTAACTTAAGAGCCCCAAAATATTATTGACAAGGAGTCCTGTAGCACCTTATAGACTGACAGACGTATTGGAGCATAAGCTTTCATGGGCAAAGACCCACTTTCGTGCTACAGGACTTCTTGTCGCTTTTGCAGATCTAGACTAACACGGTTACCCCTATGATACTCGACACCAAAATATTATGGCTCTTTCAAATGATCCTCCCAATAAGCATTATAAACGTAGCAAATTTAGAGTTGATGGGAAAACATCAGCCTAACATGTTTACATGGCATTATCCCACCAATACTCCTTCATTTGCAAGCAAAGTGCAAAATTAAATATGCCAAAAAGATTTATAAGAGGGTACAAGACCTGATTCTTCTCTTGCTTATGCCAGCATCATGAGTCACTCCATTGGAGGAAGTGTGAGGAGATCCATGACCAAAGATTCTCATTTGATACTGTTTTCAAATAGTAAATTGGAGCTGGCAATGATCATTTTTTAGTGCAATAAAGCCAGAAACATACAGGAAGCTGGGATTGAGAAAAGAGAAAGGAGAAATGGATACGTGGGTTCTTCTAATGGGTTGTGGGAGCTTCCAGTCTGCTCTGTGGTGGAAGTCTGCTTGGAGATTCAAGGCTCTTGGTTAACCTGCACAGCTCTACATGTGGGCAGGGAAGGACTGTCTAGTTATCTTAGATGCCTATAAATAAATGCAAGGAGCCTAGGAAACAAACAGGAAGAATTGAAAGTCCTGGTGTGATCAGGGAACTGTGGTGTGATTGGAATAGCAGAGACTTGGTAGGGTAACTCACATGTCATGGATAGGTAAAGCTGTTCAAGAAGGACTGGTGAAGGAGAAAAGGTACAGGAGTTGCATTGTATGTAAGAGAGCAGTGTGACTACATCTAAACTACATCCCTCTGTTGGAAGAAGGATGTAAATTAGACATATCAAAAGTGCAAATGAAGCGGGGATTTAAATATCTCGCACTTCATTTGCATAATGGCGGCCACCGTTTTTTTTCAAAATGGGGCTTTTCGAAAAAACGGCAGCTTAGATGGGGCATTTTTGACAGAAATGCCCCATTTCAAAAGATCGAGGAGTACCATCTAAACTGCTGGTTTTCTTTCAAAAAGCCCCAGTACGAAAAAAAGGGGCGGCTGCCATTATGCAAATGAAGCACAAAATATTTTAATCCCTTGTTCATTTGCACTTTCAATATGTCTAATTTACATCCCTCTGCTGACAGAGGGGTGTAGTTTAGACGTAGCCTGAGATTGCTCAGAATTGCAGTGCAAAACTAGAGAAAAGCCTGTTGAGAGACTTTAGATTAAGATTAGAGTTGAGAACAAGGGTGATGTTGTGATGGGTATATGCTATAGATCAGAGGGTTGAGGTAGATGAGGCTTTCTTCACAAAACTGAAGTTTCCAGAACTCAGTGGTTCTCCCCACTACAGAAAGGATGTGGACAAATTGGAGAGTGACCAGCAGAAGTCAGCAAAAATAATTGGAAGGCTGGGGCACAAGATTTGTGAGGAGGAGCTGAGGGACCTTGTCTTATTTAATCTGCAGAAGGAAACAGTGAGGGGGGATTTGATAGCAGCCTTCAACTGCCTGAAAGGAGGGTTCCAAAGAGGATGGAGCTGTATTATTCTCAGTGGTGATAGATGACAGAAAGACGAGCAATTGTCTCAAATTGCAGTGGGGGTGGTCTAGGCTGGATATTAGGAAAAACTATTTTACTAGGAGGGTGGTGAAGCCATGGAACGGGTTGTCTAGGGAGGTGGTGGCATCTCCATCTTTAGATGTTTTAAGGTCTTATTTGACAAAACACTGGTTTAAATGATTTAACTGGGGTTGGTCCTGCTTTGAATAGATGGTTGGACTAGATGGCTTTTGAGATTTCTTCCAAACGTAATCTTCAATGACTCTATGATTCTATTATCAGGATGGGTAAAGGAAACATAGAGTAGTGCAGGGGTTCTCAAACTTTTTGGGCTCCGGAGCCCATTACATGCATAAAAATTTATATGGAGCCCCAGCGGTCCACTGATTGTATGTGTTGTACCTATCGATGTTTCCAGTTTGTCAACCTTACGGAGCCCCTGGAGATGTCTCACAAAGCCCTGGGGCTCCGCGGAGCACAGTTTGAGAAATACCGGAGTAGTGCATCTGTTTCCCACAGAGTTCTCAGTGATCCCTGGATGGAATTTAAAGCTCTTGGAAATCTTTTGTGGCAGCAGGGTGAGGGTATGTATGGTAACCACCTGGGGATGACTGTAAATTACAATTATACATTTTCAATGGTTTTTTTCAGCTAAAGAATGTCCAGCAGGGGACTTGATAACCAGCTGCCAGGGGATTAAAAACCAAGGAAGGGGTTAGATTTATTTAGTGTAGATTGTGGACTCAGCGCATATCCAAAAAAAAAACCATTGAGAGACTAAATCAGTCCCTCAAAATCCTTTGCTGTGCTGGATCTGTGGTCTGCGCCTAATACAGAGGTTGATAGCTCTATTGTACAAATTATCTCCAGCTCTCTTATACCATTTCTGACCAGCTAAATGAACAATGTCCCCATAGTTATGTATATCAATACCTTTGTAATTGTCTGCCCCTCAAGGAAGTGATGGAATGCTTTGATACATCAACTTTTTTTCCTTTATACCACTTGGAAGTGTTCAGAAGAAACTGAGTATAAGGCAAAAAAGTTTCTTCAAGTGCTAGGCTTCATAAACAGCAGCACATGATGGGTCCCACCATGCATTTCGTGAATTGTCTCCAAATTCATAGTCTTCTCAGGCCCTTCAAACCTCCTACTCACAAACATCCTTCTAGCTTCCACATAATCTTCAGATGACGTAACTTCTCAACTGATCCATCACAGCTGATGCTATTAGAATTTATTCCTAGACAAAAATGTTCTAAACTAAAGAGAGCATTACAGTAATTTAAAGGTAATTAACATTTTAAAAATGGTGAATCATCCTCAAAACAAACATAAACTGAGAATGTTCAGAGTGAAAGATTAGTGTAAAGGAAATCTAAACATATCAAGCTATGGAATTGCAAAGTTAATACCATAAAAATCACTGATGCATTTTAATCCACGTGGTTGCAAATTAAATTGATTTTTAAAGATGTATTAGATTTAGGATATGTCTACACTTGCCCCCTAGTTCAGACTAGGGAAGCAAATGAACCATACCGAAGTTACTAATGAAGTACTCGGGGGAGTAACAGTTAATTCGAGGGAAGGGTTTTGGATCGGACTACCACGTCTACACGCGGCAAGTTAAATCGGGCAACCGGCATTTTAAAATGGTGACCTGCTGCAAATATGCTAATCAAGCGCAGGATATTTAAATCCCGCGCTTCATGAGCAACTTCGGTATGGTTCATTTGCCTCCCTAGTCTGAACTAGAGGGCAAGTGTAGATATACCCTTAGATTTCATGGGTTTGGTTGTAAATGGTCAGACAATTCATTCAATGCTCAAACAATAAAGGCTGTAATTATAGGGAGGATGTAGAATATTCTTCAGAAGAAACAAAAAGATTAAATTCTTGTTTGAAGAGCAAAACTCCACTCAACCGTAGTCATTTCCACAATTGATTATTAATTTACCATTACTGGTGTTATCATTTTAAAATATGTTTCAGTAAAATTGTGTGATTTTCATTTACAGTCCTGTATTGGAGATAAGGTCATTGTTTCATGCCACAAAACTTGTTTTTTGGTTTTTATTTTTTGGAGGATCATGAAAACATACCCTTATGATATCTAAATATTCTGCATGAAAAATAATTTGTTAAACAATAATATTTTCATTTTGTCCTGTTAAGGTTGGTGCATTAAGAACAAATTGTTTAGAAATTTACTCTAATTTTAAAGTCTCCTATTTAAATTTCAAAATTATACTGCCATTATTTTCTTTTCCCTTCAATTGTTTTCAGGTTCTCAACCTGTTCATTGCACTGCTGCTAAACTCCTTCAGTGCTGACAATCTTCAAGCACCGGAAGAGGATAGAGAGATGAACAACCTTGAGATTGCAATTGGTCGGATCCACAAAGGACTTTACTTGCTGAAACATGCAACATGGGATTACTGTTGTGGAAAGCTCAGGAATCCAAATAAAGCTACCAAACTGAAAATGAAATTAGCCACTAAGAACACAAATGTGGAGAGTGGGAAAGAAAGAAAGAAGTGTAAAGAAAATTACAGTAACGATGTGACTAAGAAAAAGGGGGACAAGTGCTCAGTTAGCATCCTTGAAGATTTTATTACCAATCCAAATGTGTTTGTCTGCGTCCCTATTGCTGAGCCAGAGTCTGATATTGAGGACTATGAAGAAAATGATAATAAGTCGAGCATATTCACAGAAATGGATTACAATAAACAGGTAAGAAGCCTATGCAGGGAGAATATTGTTGAGACTACAAGTACCAGAGGAGTGGCCATGTTTGTTTGTATCTGCAAAAACAATGAGATTTATTTGGGCATAAGCTTTCATGGGCAAAAAGATAAAGTGGGTCTTTGCCCACGAAAGCTTATGCCTAAATAAATGTTAGTCTTCAAGGTGTCACAGGAATACTCATTGGTTTTTGAAACTACAGGCTCTTTAATGGAGCTGGCAAAGGCATAGTATGATCTATCTGCAGGAAGTTGAATTTAGAGAAATGCAAAAGAAAACTAAAGGTGCAATAACTAAAGGTGCATTTTTTTTAAAAGTCAGGGTAATTATCCAGTGGAAGAACTTACCAAGAGGTTTGGTAATTTTTTTTGTATCACGAAGTATTTCTATCGAGGCAGATGTGTTATTTTGCTGAATACAGGAATTACTAGGTGAAATTCTAAGATCTGAATTGGGTAGGAATTATACTAGCTACTCATAGTGGCCCCGCCGATTTGGAAATCTGTGAATCCATGTTCAACAACATTAACCTGAAAGAGGAAATGTATTTGATGGAAAAAGTACATAATGTTAAGGGCTTAAACAGTGAATTTTTAACAAGGCCTCACCTTTTTTATCCTATCAGCATGTCCCAGAAAATAATCCTTAGAACTAGATGGAAGTATTAAGAATGACATGGCTCTATCAGATTTTAATTTTATTATATTATAGTTCATAGAATCACATTTTTTTACATTTGCCTGAATTTTTGCATTTCCTTTTAAACTATGAAGTTATGACTGACTAGACTCTAAAATGTTCTTCTTCACCTAAAGGCTGCTAGATAGTTATAGAATCATAGAATCATAGGACTGGAAGGGACCTCGAGAGGTCATCGAGTCCAGCCCCCTGTCCTCAATGCAGGACCAAGCTCCGTCTACACCATCCCTGACAGATGTCTATCTAATCTGTTCTTAAATATCTCCAGAGAGGGAGATTCCACCACCTCCCTTGGCAATTTATTCCAATATTTGACCACCCTGACAGTTAGGAATTTTTTCCTAATGTCCAATCTAAACCTCCCCTGCTGCACTTTAAGCCCATTACTCCTTGTCCTGTCCTCAGAAACCAAGAGAAACAAATTTTCTCCTTCCTCCTTGTGACACCCTTTTAGATATTTGAAAACCACTATCATGTCCCCCCTTAATCTTCGTTTTTCCAAACTAAACAAGCCCAGTTCACGAAGCCTGGCTTCATAGGTCATGTTCTCTAAACCTTTAATCATTCTTGTCACTCTTCTCTGTACCCTTTCCAATTTCTCCACATCTTTCTTGAAATGTGGCGCCCAGAACTGGACACAGTACTCCAGCTGAGGCCTAACTAGTGCAGAGTAGAGCGGCAGAATGACTTCACGAGTTTTGCTTACAACACACCTGTTGATACAACCTAGAATCATATTTGCTTTTTTGGCAACAGCATCACACTGTTGACTCATATTCAACTTGTGGTCCACTATGACCCCTAGATCCCTTTCCGCCATGCTCCTTCCTAGACAGTCGCTTCCCATCTTGTATGTATGGAACTGATTGTTCCTTCCTAAGTGGAGCACTCTGCATTTCTCCTTATTAAACCTCATCCTGTTTACCTCTGACCATTTCTCTAACTTGCTAAGGTCATTTTGAATTATGTCCCTATCCTCCAAAGAAGTTGCAACCCCACCCAGTTTGGTATCATCTGCAAACTTAATAAGAGTACTCTCTATCCCAATATCTACATCATTGATGAAGATATTGAACAGTACGGGTCCCAAAACAGACCCTTGAGGAACTCCACTTGTTATCCCTTTCCAGCAGGATTTAGAACCGTTAACAACAACTCTCTGACTACGGTTATCCAGCCAATTATGCACCCACCTTATCGTGGCCCTATCTAAGTTATATTTGCCTAGTTTATCAATAAGAATATCATGCGAGACCGTATCAAATGCCTTACTAAAGTCTAGGTATATGACATCCACCGCTTCTCCCTTATCCACAAGGCTCGTTATCCTATCAAAGAAAGCTATCAGATTAGTTTGGCATGACTTGTTCTTCACAAACCCATGCTGGCTATTCCCTATCACTTTATTACCTTCCAAGTGTTTGCATATGATTTCCTTAATTACCTGCTCCATTATCTTCCCTGGGACAGACGTTAAACTGACCGGTCTATAATTTCCTGGGTTGTTCTTATTCCCCTTTTTATAGATGGGCACAATATTTGCCCTTTTCCAGTCTTCTGGAATCTCCCCTGTCTGCCATGATTTTTCAAAGATCATAGCTAAAGGCTCAGATACCTCCTCTATCAGCTCCTTGAGTATCCTGGGACTGCCGCTTTTTTCCGGCTTGTAGATAAGCCGGAGAAAAGCGCCAGTCTGGACGCGATCCTCCTGAAAATAAGCTCTGAAAGTAGGAATAAGAGATCCTCCGGAAAAGAGCTTATTTTCCGGAGGATCGCGTCCAGACTGGCCCTTTTCTCCGGCTTATCTACAAGCCGGAAAAAAGCGGCAGCCATGAAAATGCAAATCCCGCGGGGGATATTTAAATCCCCCACGGATCTGCCTATTCCAAAGTGCTACATTTGCATCCCTATTACGGAATAGGGGGCAATGTAGACACAGCCACCCTCTCTCTGCTTGTATTCACTATTTTAGGCACACCTCCAGACTTCTCAGTGAAGACCAAAACAAAGAAGTCATTGAGCATCTCCGCCATTTCCATGTTTCCTGTTACTGCTTCTCCCTCCTCACTGAGCAGTGGGCCTACCCTGTCCTTGGTCTTCCTCTTCCTTTTAATGTATTTATAAAAGGTCTTCTTGTTTCCCTTTATGCCTGTAGCTAGTTTGATCTCATTTTGTGCCTTTGCCTTTCTAATCTTGCCCCTGCATTCCCGTGTTGCTTGCCTATATTCATCCTTTGTTATTTGTCCTAGTTTCCATTTTTTATATGACTCCTTTTTTATTTTGAGAACATGCAAGATCCTCATTTAATCCAGATGTAAATATTCTCATTGATATCAGTAGGCTTTGGATCAGGCTTCACTCCACTGTGGGTTCCTTAATTTATTTTAGGTCACCAATGGAAACTTTCCTCCCTTTGTTTCTGTAAAAATAATATTTGAAAATGAGCAGGTCAAGGTTCTTTGTATTCCATTTGGAGAGTTCTGCTTTTAAATTATGTGCCATGTTTCTGCCACCAAAACAAAAAGACAAAATCCAATAAACACAACTGAAATTATCTTTAGCAGGAAAACCACCTTAGACTGAGGGGAGAACAATGTAAAAAACCAGGAGCTTGGTGTAAAGGATCTGAGATTTTCTCTGAGGACTTAACTGAGTTTAACATAGGAAAACAATGGAAGGTTGAGTCATCATCTCTACTTCCAAAAGAGGTAAGTGTGTTTGTATCTAACATGGAATCACCAAAATTGGCTGAGTTCTTATGTATCTCATTAATTTGTTTGGAATCTTATCAAGATTGTTAATCAAGAAACAATTTTGTACTTTAAAATTTGTATTTATTACTCTGTTTTGTGTTAATGACCAAGAACTTCATAATTTGCTAATGCTATGGGAGTCCATCTTAGCTAAACAAGTGTTCACAATTGCATCATATCATTCCTGATAAAATTCACTGGATTAGGTGTATTTAGCTTCACTATTCTGTTTTATTAGTGAAGGGGAGAATAAGTGGATTTCAGTGAATGATAATAGCACCATACTGTGTTTCTAATACTGATAAAAAACGTTAATGCAAGTTGGAGCTTCCTGGTCCTGTGCCCTAGGAACATCTGTGGTCCCACTGGAATGGGGAAGTCAAGGCTCCCCTCCCAGCCATCAGACCTGTCCCCAGGGGCCAGCCCAGGCCACGGGGCTCCATTTCTGACCTTGGCACTCCCAGCCCCTGCCACCAGCCCCAGCCTGGGCTGTGTTCCTGGCCACAACTGCCGTGCCAGCCCCGCTGCTGCCATCCCTGGACAGGACTGAGCTCCCAGACATGCTGACTCCGCGGCTGGAAGCCCTGGCTGGGGCCATGCTCTTTTCTGCTGTCCTGGGCTCTGCTTCCAGCCGCTGGCCCTGCTGCCACCAGTTGGGGCTGTGCTTCCAACCCTGGCCACTCCCTATGGGTATGTCTGCACAGCAAAGTTATTTTGAAATAACAGCCCTTATTTCAAAATAAATTTCCTAGAATCTACACAGCCAAACTGCTATTTCAACATAAATTTGAAATAGTGGAGTGCTTATTTCAAATTTGATAAACCTCATTCCATGAGGAATAATGCCAAATTCGAAATAGCTATTTCGAAATAAGTGCTGTGTAGTCTTCGCAGGTAGCCCTGATGGCCACTCTAGTCTCAACCAAGACGCACCCCCCCCTGGCCAGCCCCTCCCCAGGAGCAGTCTGCCAGCTTCCAGGAGCCTGTCAGGGCCTGGAGAAGACAGGCGCCTTCCTGGTCCCAGGTGGAGATCATGGACCTTATTCAGGTTTGGGGGGGATGCTCCCAACATCCATGATCTCTGTACTATATGGAGGAAAACAGCCATCTATGGCAGGATAGCTGCCAGCCTGGCCACCAAAGGCCACATGCGAACCCAGGAGCAGGTTCACATGAAAATCAAGTTGGTCCAGCAATACCCCCACCCCTGAGCCTTGAGTTTCCCCTCCCCTTTCTTCCCCTTGCTTCCCCCTTCCAGCTCCCTCCTCCCAGGTTTCCCCCTCCCCTCTCCTGCTCTCTCTTCTCCCCTCTCCTGCCTCCTTTCCCCAGTCTCACCAGAGTTTTATTACCTCCCCTCAGTTTTGTTAAATAAAGAGAGTTTGTGTTCATGAAAATACGTGTATTTTATTTTACATCAGGAGGGGTAAGTGGAAGGACATGAGGGAAGAACGAGGCACAAGCCCCCAGTGGGGCAGACCAGGGAGGCTCTTAGTGCTCCTCAGGGTGGAAGCTCTCCCACAGGGCCTCCTGGATACTGACAGCCCCCCGATGGACCTCCCAGATGATAGCCTGCAGAAAGTGCAGCCCGGCTCGCAGCAACGTGTCCACAAGAAGCATCAGAGTGCTCAGGGGCAGCTCTGGCTCCACGTTGCAGAGTCCTGTGGTATCCTGAGTGAAGGCAACCAGAGCATGCAGAGACAAAATGCTTTGCTGTGCCTCATCGAGGTAGATAAGCAAGCAGGGAAACCTGAGAACTGTCTGTCCGGGAGTTCCCTTTAAGCACAGACCTCAGATAGCCTCAGACAGCAGCCCCACACAGTACGTCCTGACCTGGTGCCCTGCCGGAACTGATTCCGGCCAGCCTTAAATGCAATTCAGAGTCCACTCAGTGTGGACAGGCTATTTCAAAATAGTAAAATGCTATTTTGAAATGCATTTTGTGTGTAGACATGTTATTTCAAAATAAGCTATTTCAAAATAACACTGTAGTGTAGACATACCCTACATCTAGCCAGGCTCTCTGGCCCAGCAATATCCATGGCCCTGCCGGATCACAGATGTTGCCAGTACCAGATTTTTTAGTTTCAACCTGTAATCCTGAGTTACTGAAACACTGTGAAATAATTTTATTGAAAAGTATTGTAAAATTACCATTGTCTGCTTTTATTTTTCTTGAAATCTGAATTGCTGAGAAAAGAGGTGCAAAAAGATTGTCCGAGAAAATTCTGGTGTGTCCAGTGTGCTCTTTATGTATGAGTTGAAAGACCGTTAAATAAACATGAATATTCAGCTTTGAAATTTGCTCCCCCAGTCAGAAAAAGGAAACATACCATCTGGCCTGTGAGACAAACCAAGACAGTACAAATTTCAAACACAGAATATTTTAAATGAATTGCTCACAAATAAACTACAGTTGAATTATTATTCTCAGAAATGTTTTAGAAAGTGATTTTGAATAATGAATATATGCAATTTGGAAACAGAAAATATAATTGATTAAATTATTAGTTATGCATTATTCATACATCCCGAGCAGTGTGGCATCCTAAATATGTTGGAATAGGAGGGAAGTCTATGCCAATGAAGAATACATTGTATAATTATATGTGCCATTTCAAGTAAACTGCCATGGGCATTTCATAGTTTCATTCTCAACAGAAATTTTAGAACTCTACAAAAGTAGTCCTTTGATGAAATTATATTTCCACATTTTGCTTTCTCTATTTTTTCATGTGTTGTGCTCTGTTTTAATTGTTTTTAGCCCCAGTTAGTAGAATGTTTTAAAGCCTATCTATGTTTGAAAATCACATGTACCTAAATTTTAAAAAATGGAAATCATTATCATTTGTGAGATTTACTAGAATGATTAATTTGGTTCCTTTAAATATATTGTAGCCTTCTGTTTGAATTGATGTGCAAATATTTCAGGGATCATATACCGTACACTGTAAAGCTGGAGGGGAGACCCATTCCAGGACTGCCATATTATTAATAAGCACAGTACCCAAATACAGTTTTATTTTTTTAATATCTCCCTTAATTATAACTGCTTACCAATGTACTTATTCAGTTTATTTTAAAGCATTATGATTTCATTAAGGGAAAATTGATGTATTGTCTTTCTTGTGCAGCAACTGGATTACATCAGCTGTTCTGAAGGCAGCACAGCGGATCTGACAAATCCTGAGGAGCTTCTGAAACAGATCCCTGAGCTTGCTGAATACTTAAAGGAACCTGATAACTGTTTTCCAAAAGGTAAGAATCTGCTGATTTCCCTATGACTAAGAAGAGAGAACAGCTCACAGTAGCCTCTTCTCCTAGCTAATGCTGAAACACTCAGGTTCTCAACACCAAGCCACTCTATTTGCTGAGTATTTAATGATAAAAATACTTTAATGATAATAATAATCAATAATACTTAATTCCTAGTACTTGGATAGTACTTTTCATCCACAGATCTCAATAACAGTGAAAACATATGTGAAATAGGCAGAGAGAACTTGTTGGTATTCGGTTGAATTTCTCTAGGATGGTGAACATGGAAACCCACTTTAAATTGCTATATAGCTTTTAGCTTTACAAGTATCCTGTCTGCCGACAGTGGCCAATGCCAGATGCCCCAGAGGGAGTGAACAGAATAGGGAATCACCACGGGATCCTCTCCTGTCATCCATTTCCAGCCTCTGACAGTCAAAGGCTGGGGACACCAGTCCTACCCGCCCTGGCTGATAGCCATTGATGGACCTAACCTCCATGAATCTATCTAGTTTATTATCAAAGTATCAGTGTAAGCTTAATTGGATGTGACAGTGATGATGTCCCATTTTAGGACAATATTCTGGAATCCTAAAAGAGGTCCAGAATACTGTGTAGGATATCTCATGTAACACAAGAGTGACCATACTGGGACACACCAAAGGTCCACATAGCCCAGGATCCTGTCTTCCAACAGTAGCCAATACCAGGTGCCCCAGATGAAATGAACGGTTATCGTGAAATGATCCATTCTCAGTTGCTCACTCCCAGCTTCTAGCCAAAATGTGATGAGACAAAACTGCTTAGTGAGAACATGGACAAACCTCTCTACCTGCAGGGGTTAGGAAAGAATTTCTCCTTGGTATGTTAGTTGATCTCCTCCCTTTGAAGCATCAGGGATGGCTATGGCTGAAGATGGGACAGTGGAAAGGGAAGATCAAGATTTTGAGGCTGTACTGAGCATTCTTTCTCTCAGGTATTTGTTTGCTTGGTGGGTTCTTGCTGACTTGGCCAGGGTCTAATTGATTGTCATATGTAGAACTGGGAAGGAATTTGCCTCCAGATCACATTGGGAGTGATTTTGGGGGCGAGGGTGTTTCACCTTCCTATGTAGTGTGGGGTGTTGGTAATTTGCCAGCATTAACATATCTCACTCATTTCCCTGCCACTGCAGGGGTCTTAGGCATTAGTGTGCCTTGGTGCCTCCTATTTTCTGTCTGTGGCACATAAGTCATCTCCTTTAAGCAGTCTAATTTAGCAGTACTGTCAACTTTATTTGTTTTGATGGTACGAATCTATTGTTAGAAAACACCATTCTTTTAGTTGAAGGAGATACCATCATTCTGGATTTTTGTTCAAAATTGCAGAATTGAAGAGATGGGGAGTCTGAAGTAGTTGGGTGAGAAATAAGGATAGGTTATTTATTGTGTACAGTATCTGGAGTTTTTCAAGATGTTTTTTCCCTCTGGGTGTTCTACTATAGATGTGCATGTGTCTCATATCAAGAGATTTTTGGTAACAGTCTGTTCAGTCCACACATGCACCGTAACTATCTTGCACCCTATGCTAAGGGTACACAAAGCAGTTCTGGATCAAATGCAATTCCAGTTACTTTCTTACTGCAAAATCCAACCATGCTAACATTGCCAAAGGAGGTCAGGCAGTGAAGCACCCACAGGGACAAAACATCTTGAAGACAAAACATCCAGCTACTGTACAAAGTAAATAATTTCTCCTCCTCCTTTGAGTAAATTTCCTTAAGGGAGATTTGGTCTGTGTGACTCCCATGTACTATCCCTTCTGTGGTGGTGGGTACTCTGGAAGTCAATCTGGTTCAGAACAACACTCCTGAAAGCAACATCTGCCCTAGTAGTGTGCGCTAGTACATAGTGCTTAGAAATGGCACGAACAGATACCCAAGGGCTGTGTCTACACTGGGCCACTTATTCCGGAAAATCAGCCGCTTTTCCGGAATAAGCTGCGAGCTGTCTACACTGGCCCTTGAATTTCCGGAAAAGCAACGACTCTTTACTGTACAAAATCAGCCGCTATTCCGGAAAAACTATTCTGCTCCCGCTTGGGCATAAGTCCTTATTCCGGAACACTGTTCTGGAAAAGGGCCAGTGTAGACAGCTCGCAGCTTATTCCGGAAAAGCGGCTGATTTTCCGGAATAAGTGGCCCAGTGTAGACACAGCCAAGTGGTAATTTGGCATGCATCCACAATAGGAATATTTTTCAACAAGAAGCTGATTGGTACTTAGTGGAATGAGCCATAACAACTGAAAGGCGCTGAAGATTAAAACTCTACCAATAAGCTTAAAAAATCTAAGAATCTCTTTGGGAGTCTTAGGGTGGAGATTAAGTTCCCCTAATTCTAGCTGCAATGTGATTAAAAAGTCTAGGAAAGGGTCTAAAAGATTTTGTTTTTTCAAGTAAAAGGCAAATGTTCTTCCAACAGCTAGAGTATGTAAACTGACATCTGTCCTACAAGTATGTCATCTGGGGTAAAACACTGATAACTGTAACTATCTCTGGCTTTGACCTTTGCCTTGATTTCTCACCTTCTCTAGTTCCATTCCCAGGCTCTTGCTCCTGATTCCAGCCCGTTGGCCTGACTGGCCATTCCTCAGTCCTCACATACTTTTCCTCCACCTAAAGAACCTTCCCTGTTGTCTCCCCTTAGGAGAAGAGCCATGTCTAGAGAGCTAGGGTTTAAAAATCATGTTTCCTGCCCTGCTTCTTCTCGGTGGAGACCATGGGCATAGCCTTTTCTGCCGGGCGGAAACTCATATCGCCACCAACTGTAGCACTTGCTGTTCCTTCCCTCCCCACGCCCGAGAGGGACAAAGAGCTTCATATGAGGAGTTATCTTGACCCATGCAAAAGTTTCAGTGACTGTTCTCTTAGACAACTGCAAATAGCTCCACCAGAGTATGCAGAAGAGGAGGACACTGAGCTGGAATCACAGCAATACCAACAAGCATATAATCAATCTTACCTGATGAGGTTAGCATTCAGACAGCAACATCTCAAGACTATCCCTGCAGATAAGGAAGTTTAATGTGTTGACCTTCTAAGGAAGAAGGTATTCTCAGCATCCAGCCACCAGTATAGAACTGCTCACTATAGGCCCTGTTAGCAAAGTATATTTCACAAAGTATTCCAAATTCCTGAAGCTTAAGGACAAACTCCCTCAGTGAGGCAGGGTCCAATTTCAAACCCTCATTGATGAAGAAGGTAAACTGGTAGCAAAGACACAGTAGTCATTGCTAATACCACGGCTAAAGCTATAGCAACTGTAAAAGTTATGTGGTGTGACTTATGGCTTCATTGTTTGGGACTCTCAAGGGAGGTTCAAAATACAGATCTTCTCTTCAAATCTGATCTTTTTATTGAGGACACAGGTGAGGCTTTACACTCGTAAAAGGACTCTAGGACAATCTTCCACTGCAATTGCATTCTATTCCAGCCTGTAAGAGGAAATAACGTAAACATTTGTACAAGCCAATTCCTCTCCCACTATCTTTCTACCACCTTCTCCATACAGACTGCATTGCAAGTGCCAGAAGATCCAAGGAACAAAATCTGTAGCCTCATCCACTTTGATAACAGTCACCCAATCTCATGCTCCAACAAAGAGTTACTTATGTTGGGACATTGAAGAGTTACAAACCTCACAGACACCACCCCATGCTGCTTTCTTAACCTTTTGTGGTGGTCTAGCATACTTCACCCACAACTGGAGGGACATAACAATGGAAAAATGGGTTCTAGATATCATGTTCTTTGGCTACATCTAGTTTCTTTCCCAAGCCCTCTTCAGAGACCACTCTCACAAGGAAATCCTCCATCGGGAGATGGACTTTCTTTCCACAAGGGGCTATAGTGAGTGCTACCTCAATATTGTGGTAAATGAACCTACTCCAAATATTTCTCATTTCTCAAGAAAAGGGGAAGATGGATAGACATTCTCTACTTTTGTCAACTATACATTAATTTATTTTCAAATTTAAAGTTGTTTTGCTTACACTGGCATTCATAATTCCCTCCCTGGAAAAAAGATACAGGACTTTCAGTTTTTGACATGAAAGATGCTCTACTTTCATGTGAACTTTCACCCATACTATAGGAGTTTCTGCAAATGTAAGGTAGGAAAGATACACTGTCAGAGTTCTCTCATTTGGGCTGGCAACAGAACCCCCGGTTGTCTTTTCAGTGGTGACAGTAGAGATGAGATGACACTGCTCCACCATTTTCTCTTATCTAGATGACTAGCTCCTAACAGGCAGATCCAATTGGGAATTTCAGGTGGCAATCTTATACTTGTTCCATCTTCTGGCATTTTTGAGAATCTGCCTAGATATGGAGAGATCCATCCTGACTCTAACACATTTCTTAGACTTTATAGGTATGATCCTAAACTCAACCTCAATTTCCAAGACAGTTTCCAGGTTATGAAAAGCCCGATGAGACAAGTCACTCACAGACCTGGAACTACAGGCAAGATCTGTCATTCTCTGCTAGGATGCATGTTCCTTGTACTTACATAACAGTAGTTTCACCTCTGTTTTCTACAAGCCTGGTTTTGGTTTCTATTTACCAGACAGATATAGCATGAATTCCAAAGTAGCAGTGTCAGCCAATGTCATAGCTTCCTTTGTCATACCTCTCTCCCACACCCAACATGATTACAATAATAGATGTATACCTCATAGGCTGGAGAGCCTACGTGTGTTTCCATACAACACAAGGTACGTAGACACCTTGAGCAGCCAGTATGTATATCAATTTCCTGGAACCAAGAGCAACCAGACAGGCTGCAATGCATTCCTCCCACCTATACCGCCTCTCTGTGTCCAGATAATGTTGGACATTATGACTGTCTTCTATATAAACAAAGGAAAAGAAGTGCTACATTCATGGATCTGATATATCTAGAATCATTCCCAGGTGCACAGAACTTGCTGGCAGATAATTTTAGTGGGTACTTATTCACCAACTATGAGTAAGTGGTATACAATTCTGTGCTCAACAAAATCTTCACTCCTTGGGGAACACCATCTTGGGGCCTTTTTACCTTAAAATAGAACAAGAAATTCAGCATATATAGGTCAGGATTTCAGGGCTAGTGTACTTCTACTAGCATGAGGTAGACCCCCGCGGTACGTTTTTCCACCCATTTTATGACTACCCTGGTTTTGCAGAAATTTTGCCACAACAAAGCATGTGTTGTTCTCAGTGCACCCAACTGACCCATGCAATTCTGGTTTCCAGACTTGCCCCACCATGAATGTCAACCACCCCTCCCATTAGCATCTGATCCTTCCTGGATCTGCTAACTCAGAACAATGGAATCAGACATTCCAACCAGGATTCTCCTCACCTCATAGACTTGTATTTGGATGAACTTTCATTACCCAAGGCTGTTAAAATGATTTTCAATCACAGGAGACAAACTTTAACAAAAAAAAATTTCTAATTAAATGGTGGCATTCTCTAGCTGAGTGCAACAAAACTAGTTGTCCCCATAAATTGCAGGTATTCCTACAATTCTCGACTACCTCCTCACTCTCAAGACGTCAGGCCTTTCTGTTAGCTTGCTGCAGATCCACCCAGTACCTTCCACCATTGGGGATAGATCTACTCTGTTTTTACTCAACTGATAATAACTAGGTTCCTGAATGTCTCATTAGGGCTATCCCACCAACACTGTAATGGGGCCTTAAACTTGTACTTTAGTTAGTAGACCATGGTTACTTTACTTAGTAGGCCTACCTGTCTATGAAGGTCACCTCCTTGTTGTTTTCATGTCACTCAGAAGGTAAGTAGGGGTCACTCATAGCCCACACTCCTTATAATACTTTAAAAAAAGAGCAGGGATCTCTTCATCTCTACCTGAAATTTATTCCTAAATTAATTTCCACGTTTCTCATGAATTAATCAATTTACTTCATTGTTTTCTTTCCAAAACCTTTCAGTATGTAAAGCAGCACATGCTTCCCTGAATGTGATCGGTCAGATGAGCTTTGCATTTTATCAGCAAAAAATTAAACCATTTAGGAAGACCACTTAGATTATTTGTTGCTAGAGTGGAATGAACACTGGGTCAAGCAACATTTGCTCAGAGATTCTCTCACATGGATTTCTGGCTGTTTTCTCCTTGCTATCAGGTAGCATGGCTCCCTGCCTTGAATGGGATGAGGGCCCATTCCGCTGGAGCATGAATTACTTCAGAAGCTTGTCTTTGACATATGTCTATGCTGAACATTTTATAAGAGAGCAACCTGGAGTTGCATCCACACTTTCACAAACATTAAGCTTTAGTCCCAGTCTCTTCTGCTGACTTAGTCTTTGGAACAGCAATATTAAAAAATCTATGCCCTCTTCCTTCCTTCTTGACTACTGCTTATTCCTCGCCTATATATGGAATACATGTAGAAACCAGGACACAAAGAAGAAATTGAAGCTACTTACCTGTAACTGGAGGTTCATTGAGATGTGTGATTCCTATATGTATACCACTACCTGCTATCATTCCACTCTGGTTTGGATTGTGACTGGATTTGTAGAAGAGAAAAAGCTGGAGAAGTGGTCAGTCTGCACCTCCCCTTATATTTTGAGTACTGAGCACAAGGATCTCCAGAATGCAAAAATGGACCAATAGACTCGGCTCAGAAGATTTCACTGTCTCTGATACATTGTGCTCACCTGTACCCATATGTGGAATGAAGATAGGGATCACACATCACAAAAAACTTCCAGTTACAGTTAAGTAACCTCCATATCTTCTATCAAGGTGCATGGTGGAAATTCAGTTGCTTTGTACATTTGGATCTAGAATGATTAAATGACTAGAAGTTAGAATGTAGGGAACAGTATTTCACTGTTAAGGGGGTAGACTAGATGACCCTACAACTCTTTTTTATCACTAATTTCTATGATGCGATGACTCCTTCCTGTTACTTTATCCTTCCACCTTTCTGTGCTAACTGCTGTTGAAAAAGCTGATAAACATCTACCAAAGCCATGAGATTCATTCTGTTATGTTGTCTATGTTATGTGAATCTGATCATCATCTCTGTGAGGCCTGGTATACATTAAATGGGAAGGTCAAATTAAGATATGCAACTCCAGCTATGTAATTTACATAGCTGGAGTCAACATATCTTAAATCCCCTTCCACACAGCAGGAGTTTGATAGGAGGAAAGGCTCCTGTTGGCTTCCCTTACTCCTTGCGAGGAGTAGGAGCACCAGTGCTGATGGGGGCACCCTTTGAGTTTGATGTAGCAGGTCTACGCTACACCAGCAGAATTGAATCCTGGAAGATCAACCACAGCAGCATCAATCTGCCATGTAGCATAGACATGCCCTGAGGGTGTTGCCAATACTCTCAACAATATTTGTTGGTCTGGAAAGTAGCTCACTAAAGTGTGCGAGATCTTCCTCATTGATTAAAAATATTGTTGTAGTTTATTTTCAAGGGAAAATGAAAATGGACCCACAGAGAGAGAAACCGCAGAGAGGCAGGTTTAAGGTGATCAAGGTGCTTCCCCTGAACCCAGACATTTCCATAGTACCCCTGTATGTTCATGTACAGTTAATAATCATGTATCCCTCTTTCAGGCTGTGTTCGACGTTTCCCTTGCTGTTTAGTGAATGCCACAAAATTTCCAGGCAAAACATGGTGGAACCTGAGGAAAACATGCTACAAAATTGTTGAACACAACTGGTTTGAAAGCTTTATCATTTTCATGATTCTGCTAAGCAGTGGATCCCTGGTAAATTTAACTTAATCTGATATCTGTCTGAATTTTAAATAAACTTTTAGCACAGGAAAGAGGGTATATTTTCAAAGCTGGTGTGGGGGAGGGGAAGAAGACTGTCCTGGTAAAGGACTAACTTATTTTTAACTGGAAAACACTGTAAGTCAAAAGACAGAATGATCAATTCTAACAACTAGTGATGATTTCCATTCTGGTTGTTTATTGGATTTTTCTGAAGCTTTGTCTGATAGCTATTTAACACACATAGACTATTGGTTTTATATGTTCATCATTATAATCTTTCCTGGTGCTCATTCTCTTGGAACATGAAGCTGAAACTACTTCTGAACTAAATGTTTGTATCCATATGAAAAAATACTCCCCTAAAAGCTATTAAAAATAAAATTCCTTGGGATAGAAGTGGAGTATATCTGCGTAAAATTTACAAGTTGGTAAATTAACGTGAATCTAAAGAGTCTAAAGGCAGCATAAGTTTGTATAACTTATACATTGACAGCCAGAAGATATAATTAACTTTGTCTCCCTCTTGACATACACTTCCTTAGACTTGTGGTGCCCTGCAGTCTTAGGTTTGGTCACTCTGTACTCAATTGCAGAGCCCCACTTTTGTGTTAGTTTCTGTTTTGCATCCAGAACAATAGTGGAAATCGAACAACCTGTTAAACCGCATTCCAGGAGGAATAACAGGTAGTTCGAACTAGGGCTTTATTTTGAACTACCGGGTCCCTGCTGCATGTAGACACGAGCAGTTAGTCCAGACTTGTAAATTTCATAAATGGTGATATTTAAATCAGCAGTCCCTATGTCTATCTTCCTGTCTGCTGAGTCCAAACATAACATTGGTGACAAGGAGCATCCATTTCATGGGTGTCCAGCATAGTTCCCTTTAAGGTGTGTGCCTGTGCAGCCACCCACAGAAGATTCTAAGCCTGCCCACCTCCTTTGAAGAGCCGCGCAGTAGCACTCACCACTCACGTTCCTGCTTGGTGGACACTTCATAGGTTGGCTAATGGGGCAGCACTCTACAGCTTTGGTGGGCAGCTGGGGCAGCTTCACCACAGCCCCGGTTCCCAGAGCCAGCCACATGGCCCGGCTGGCAGGCTGCTGCCCTGGTGTACTCTGACTGCAGAGAGGCTGTCCCTGCTGTGGGTTGCGTGTGCTAGCATTGGAGCCAGGGCATGTGCTAATGATTGCTTGTAAATAGGTAAGGATCTCCTCCCTCTTCTGTCATACTCAGTGTGAGGTTTTTAGCCCATTACAAATGTCTATGACATTAAACAAATGTATTCTGTCAGTTACATGCAAAGTTAGCATGAATCTGTAGCATAGAGCTAGGATTAATTTGTTTTTATAATATACATATCAGTTTCATAGATTAAATATTCAAAGGGTTCAGTTAAACTTCTTGTTTATTTTCCTAGATCATTAGGAAAATCAGTAGATAATTAATGTAACTTTACTGGAGGTCTTAAGTGCAGAATTGTGAATTAGATCCTCCTTTTCCTATCTTGCTCTCTTTTACAGTTGTATTTGTTACAAAAAGAATGGGGCATTGTTTAACCTGAATGAGTAGTACACCTTTGAGTTTAATTACAGTGTAAAGAAAATAAGAAAGAGTTCCTTTGAAAAGTACACATTTAAACTAAGAATTTAAATGTTAAAATTAAGACCCTGATTCAGAGATACACTTAATTGTATTCTTAAATTCCTTTGAAGTCAATGCAATTTAATCATGTGTTTAATGCTAATCATGTACTTGGGTGTTTGGCTGCATAGGGCTGGAAACATCAGCTTTAATTTTAAGTACACGATTAAATATTTTTCTGAAATCAAATGTCAACAATAAAGCATACATCTCAGTTCTAACAATTGCTTGTCCTAAAAAAAAAGTATTGCAATCCTGAAAATAATGTCTGTCAATCTGTTAAATCCTGGGCTTGATTTGCAACTTCGAATGCCTACATTAGCCTCCTTAGTTTGAACTAGGGGGCTAGTGTAGACATACCCTAATATACTGAATCTGGTTTAGTGTTTGTATCGTAATCATTTCAACAGCAGCTATATGTCATACCACAATAGACGGTTGTGAACTTCCTCTAAGTCAATGTAGTTAGTGAGAGAGAGAGGCCTTATGCATAAGGTGGTTTAATACTTTGGTTAGTGGCCAGAGCTAGGAATTAAGAGTCAGATTCCCACTGGTAGAAGCTGAAATCAGTGGAACTAATGTGATTAATATCTGCTGAGGAGCTATATGTCTGGCAATGCAAAAGAGAGACAAAGCAAGTCTGATGCAGAGGAGCTGAGGTCAGGACTGCATGGTGGCTTCCCAGCCACTCTTGGGAAGGGCTGCGCGGGTTACCTGGGTTGACATTAATACTACTATAAATGCTATATGAATTGTATTCTTTATTTTGGGGAGTTGGCAAAGAGAGAAACCTGCATATCTAACTGGAGCTATTTGGTCTTCTAGCTGTGATTCACTGGATAGTGCCTTTCTGGGCTACAGTGGAGTATTAATTTTATTTCTGATTTCATATTAAATAAACATTTAAAGTTGTTAATTATCCCTTTTTTTAGCATTTTCTTCCATATCACCTTCCAACACCCACAATATTCTTGCCAGCAAGCTAACGGAATATGAATTGGATAAATGGACTGTAAGATGGATAGAAAGCTGGCTAGACTGTCGGGCCCAATAGGTAGTGATCAACGGCTCAATGTCAGGTTGGCGGTCGGCTTCTAGTGAAGTGCCCCAAGGATCTGTTCTTGGACTGGTTTTGTTCAGCATCTTTATTAATGACCTGGATGAGGAAATGGATTGCAACCTCAGCAAGTTTGCAGATGACACTAAGCTAGGGGGAGATGTAGATACGCTGCAGGGAAGGTATAGGGTCCAGAATGACCTGGACAGATTAGAGGATTGGGCCAAAAGAAATCTGATGAGGTTCAACAAGGACAAGTGTAGAATCCTGCACTTGAGACAGAAGAATCCCAAGCATTGTTACAGGTTGGGGACTGAATGTCTAAGTAGCAGTGCTGCAGAAAAGGACCTGGTGATTACAGTGGATGAGAAGCTGGATATGAATCAACAGTGTGCCCTTGTAGCCAAGAAGGCTAATGGCATATTGGAGTGAATTAGGAGGAATATTTCCAGCAGATCCAGAAAATTGATTATTCCCCTTTATTCAGCTTTGGTGAGGCCACATCTAGAATATTGTGTTCAGTTCTGCCCCCCCACTATAGAAAGGATGTGGACGCATTGGAGAAGGTCCAGCGGAGGGCGACCAAAATGATTAGGAGGCTGGAGCGCATGACCTATGAGGAGAGACTGAAGGATTTGGGTTTGTTTAGTCTGCAGAAGAGAAGAGTGAGGGGGGATTTGATAGAAGCCTTCAACTTCCTGAAGAGAGGTTCCAAAGAGGATGGAGAGAGGCTTTTCTCAGTAGTGACGGATGGCAGAACAAGGAGCAATGGTCTCAAGTTATAGTGGGAGAGATCTAGGTTGGATATTAGGAAAAACTATTTCCCTAGGAGGATGGTGAAGCACTGGAATGGGTTCACTAGGGAGGTGGTGGAATCTCCATCCCTAGAGGTGTTTAAGTCTCGGCTTGACAAAGCCCTGGGTGGGTTGATTTAGTTGGGATTGGTCCTGCCTTGGGCAGGGGGCTGGACTTGAGACCTCCTGAGGTCTCTTCCATCTCTATGATTCTATGAAATGGTAACTCTTCCGGGCAGTGATAGTGAATTTGAAGAAAATTGTGACTCATGAGTTGTGTACCTCAAATATTTTGGGCAATTTGTGACCTGCAATTCCATTTCAGATGAATAATGAGTTTTTGCCATGCTGACAGGGATTGGTCCACAGGCATACAGACTGTGGCATGCTCTACTGTATCAGAGATGGGAAACCCAGGCAAGTGAGTGGGTTGAATGAGTGGCCCTCCTTCTCAGAGGACCACAAGATTATTGTAATCAAGAAGATTTCCTGGGATGGGTTAGTTTTTCTAACTGCCCTTGCACACATAGAATTTGTGGTGTGTGCGAATTGAACTGTAGCAGCACTTTGGATGCAGAAGGAGTGCATGGCTCTTACTGTCAATGTTATGTGCAATCAGAATACACCTCTCCTTCTGTGCCCTTGCTTTATGTGCATATCACTTTAGTGATATTGGGTAGGAAGAAAATTACACAGATGGAAACCTGCAGAATCTGGTAACAGTGCACATGGGCAATGGTGAACAGAATGCGTCATGGGTCACACAGTAAACCCAGAGGCCACATGTGGCCAATGGTCTGCAGGTTCCCCATCACTGTATTATATCCATATATACTATAGTTACTGCAGCAATGAAGGAAAGTTTCTCTCCTGCCCCGTCGATAACAGCAGAATGGTAGCATGCAAGGCATCACGGCAGAGGAGAGTCAGTGACATGGTTTGTTGCTGCTTCAAGGACAGTATTCAGAGCACAGTCAGTTTGGACAAACATTAAATGATACCTTGGCAGCCATTTTTCCTCTGGATTACAAAATGAGTAGATCCAGACATTCTTACTGAATGTATGAGTGCTGCATTCAAGAAGGCCCTGGAGATGGCTATTGTCATTTAAATGACAGAGAAAATTCTCTGGAATTTAGTGTGAACCGGGAAGTATCTCTCCTGTGTTGGTGAGAGACACAACCATGAGAACAACCATGAGAGAGACAGCCATGAAAACATGAGGCATTTCTGTGTGGCCATTGTGCACAAACTACACGTGCTGAAAAGGGTTACAGGGCAAACCAGTTCATGGACACACTTAAGTTACCTGTTGTGCAGTTCAACCTCCAGTGCTACAGAGTAACCATTCACCCACCCGATAAATGCTAAATGTAGATTGATCTGCCATCTCACAATATCTCACAATCAACATGGGCGGGGGGGAGTTTATTTTGCTGCAAATTGCCTTTTGGTGTCACATTGGCATCTTCCCTGTTCCAGGAAGCCATAGATGTGATCTTGAATGGAATTAAGTGCTACTTGGACAAAATCCTTGTTCTAGGAAATATGAGTTATCTTTCCAAAATCAATTCAGTCTCATGTCAGAAGCTCTTTAGCATAATCATTCTGACACTGTATGGATGAAGGTTATAGCCTGGAATTCGGTCTGGTGGCTAGGGATAGATGACGACATTGAGACTATATCTACACAGCAGAGTTTTTGCACAAAACTCATGGAGCGTCCACTCCTCAAGCACGTTTTTGCGCAAGAAAATTTTCAGTGAATCAACAGAATAGAGGGGGGTTTGCGGTGTAGATATTCCTCTTTCTATGAGGAATAAGCCTTTTTGTGCAAGAGCTCTTGTACAAAAAGGTGTGTGTGGATGGGAAACAGGTTTTTTGCGCAAAAACAGCCCATCGAAAGCAGCACAGGTGCCCTGGTGGTCATTCTGTTATTGGCAATCAGAGCTTTCTTGTGAGAGAGTGTCCATGCAGTCTGAATGCTCTCTTGCGCAAAAGCACATCGCTTTTCCAATGTGTTTTTGCAGTGTGGACGCGCTCTTGCGGAGTTTTTGCGGAGCTACTTGTGCAAGAAGCCTGCAGTATAGATGTAGCCAGAGTGGAAGATGAAGTGCTGTGTTGTTCCAAAGAAGTGCAAAAAACAATGCTTGTTTCTGAACTGATACATTGTTTTGCTAGAATTGCTATTCTGGAGTAGAATAATTCCTAGCAATTTAAGAGTCTGCAGTAATGCATCCACAATTTTACTTAAGCTATAAAGGGTTTTGTTATCCATGTAAATGACAATGTGCATGTGCCTGGAAAGTATTTTAATATAGAATCATAGAATATTAGGACTGGAAGGGACCTCGAGAGGTCATCGAGTCCAGTCCCCTGCCCTCCTGGCAGGACCGACTACTGACTAGACCATCCCTGATAGACATTTATCTAAACTGCTCTTAAATATCTCCAGAGATGGAGATTCCACAACCTTCCTGGGCAATTTATTCCAGTGTTTTGACTACATTTATCTGATCTACTCTTAAATATCGCCAGAAATGGGGATTCCACAACCTCCCTGGGCAATTCATTCCAGTGTTTGACTACCCTGACAGTTAGGAACTTTTTCCTAATGTCCAACCTAAACCTCCCTTGCTGCAGTTTAAGCCCATTGCTTCTTGTTCTATCCTCAGAGGCCAAGATGAACAAGTTTTCTCCCTTCTCCTTATGACATCCTTTTAGATATCTGAAAACTGCTATCATGTCCCCTCTCAGTCTTCTCTTTTCTAATCTAATAAACCCAATTCTTTCATCCTTCCTTCATAGGTCATGTTCTCTAGACCTTTAATCATTCTTGTTCCTCTTCTCTGGACCCTCTCCAATTTCTCCACATCTTTCTTGAAATGCAGTGCCCAGAACTGGACACAATACTCCAACTGAGCCCTAACCAGCACCGAGTAGGGCAGAAGAATGACTTCTCGTGTCTTGCTCACAACACACCTGTTAATTCATCCCAGAATCATGTTTGCTTTGTTTGCAACAGCATCACACTGCTGACTCATATTCAGCTTGTGGTCCACTATAACCCCTAGATCCCTTTCTGCCGTACTCCTTCCTAGACAGTTGCTTCCCATTCTGTATAGGGTGGAGATATGAGATGTTCTGCGCCTTTAAATAGTTTGGTCTCTCTGCACTCAGCTGCAGAGTCTCACTTTTATTTTATTTTCTATTTTGCTATCAGAAAATGAAGCCACTGCAGAAGACAGTGACATATGTCAGCTTCCCCCTATTCATCCCTTTTCTGCTAAATCCAAATATAACAAAGCTTGCCTCTTAATTTTGCTGTTTGTTTCATACATTGCATCCAGGAAACCTATATAATACTTTGTGGTAGTTGTTCAGGTCTTTTTTTTTTTAATGAGTCTATCCTTGAAACCAGGGCACCTATTTACATTTATCTTAGGGTCCTCATAGAGACAGGTGATGCAACTCACAAACTTCCACATGTAACAAACAGGTTCTGAGGGACATCACATCTGTTGCTGCTCTCTCTCTAAATTCTCCTAAGGGCTTCCTTTCACTACCGCTCTTTGTCGGTACAGTTGTGTCAATGCAGCTGCACTGATGTAGCATGTCTGGTGAAGATTTGTGGCGTCCACAGAAGAGTGCTTTTCTGTTGACATAATTACACCTCACTGAATGGTGGAAGATGCTGCTTTAAGGCAACTTCATTGCGCAGGTGGATGGCTTTTCAAAACCATGAGTGAAATAAGTTACATCAACTTAAAAGTGACAGTGTAGACAAGACCTAAATTCCTGATTTCTCAGGTAGGGGAAAGGGTCTTCTCTATTTGAAGAAACATATCAACTCTCCAGGAATCTAGCTAGAGCAGAAATGTATGCACAGTTTTGTTCAAGAACCTGCTGCTCTTTGCTTGTTGAAATAAGCAAATATGTATGATTTCTTCGTCATTAAAAAAATGACTACACACAATGTCCTTTCACCTTTGATACTTGGAAGATTCATAGATGTGATATCACATGTGGAAAAGCAAAAGATGTATCAGATTTGGCCTTTTCACTGTTCATTTTCACTGATTTTGTATCTTCTCTTTCTCTGTTTCACTGTTGTCACCCACTTTTCTGCCAAAAATATTGTTGTGACACAAAATACATTAAAAAGAAGTTCAAATATAGAGTGGAGCAAGGATTCACATTTTTCTTCATGTACGGTAATATTTTGTAGCCTCTCCATATTGTATAAGGTCCATTTCATGATGATTACCTTCATAGTACCTACTTATGTGTAAAGTTAAACTCCCATGTAACTGTTTGCAGGATGAGGGTCCAGGTTTCATGTGATTTGGGGTTTCATAATTAAGGGTCTGCAGGTCTCTAATCTCAATACAACATTGCAGTGTTTCACTGAAATTCTGTTGAGCGGGTTTATATCTAAGCATTATTATTTCAGGCATTTGAAGATATTTATCTTGAAAAAAGAAAAAACATTAAAATTATGTTGGAATTTCTTGATAAAATGTTCACTTACATCTTTGTCCTGGAGATGCTTCTGAAATGGCTGGCTTATGGCTTCAAGAAGTATTTCACCAGTGCCTGGTGTTGGCTTGACTTCCTAATTGTAGGTGTAAGTATTGCATTTGATCAGTTCTGCGAACTGGATTACTAAATACAGTCCAAAATTGAGGCACCTTCATTTGATGGGGAACTGATTTTTTAAAAATAGTGACCACCCACCCAAGATTTTGAAATTTGGTTAATAAAAGTAGTCATTTTGTTAAAAATTTTGGTCTAAAAATTTCTATAGCTTTAATAATGTAAGGTAGCATTAGTAACACAGGTCAGATACGTTTGTTTTGTTAAAAAAAATGGGTGAAATCTTGGCATCCCTGCAATCACTGTGTGTGTTATTATTAATTTCAATTGGGGCCAGATTTACACTTGCTACTTTATACCTGTTAGTATCCCTTTTAAAATGTATTTCTGCTTGTACTGTGACATTTCACACTTTTCATGGATAGGATTTTGTAAGCATGATTTTTAAAAATGGAAAATAAGAACACCAGAAGGTAGGATTATGCTAATATTTTTTGTGTGTCTCCATTCAGATCTCCTTAACAAGCCTCATAGCTAACTCTCTTGGATACGCCGAAATAAGTCTCATGAAATCCCTTAAAACCTTGAGAGCCTTGAGACCATTAAGGGCATTGTCACAGTTTGAAGGGATGAGGGTAAGAATAAATAAAGCAACCATTGAAACCCCTCTGTGTGAACATCAAGTATGTAAAAGGATCCTTTTTCATATGGTTTTGCTTTCATTACGGTTCTGCACAGTAGTTACAGTTACATTTAGTTGCGGTTGGTCCTGCTTTGAGAAATGGGTTGGACTACATCAGTGTTTCTTAAACTTTTTGAGGCCACGGAACACCAAACAATATTTTTGTATGTGGAAAACCTATGAAAATGTTCTTAAAAAAAAACTTGTTGACAGGCAAAAAAAGATAAAAACAAAAAAGTAAAAACAAAGAAGAGGTCGTAGCATACCTGTGAGTTGTTCACAGAACACCAATGTTCAGTGGAACATAGTTTAAGAAACACTGGACTAGATAATGTCCAACCCTAATATTCTATGAGTCTATTATTTGAATTCAATTTTAAGAGGTGTTTCTAAAACTTTATTTTGTAAAGAATCTCACTGAAATGGCAAAACAAAGTTAAATCATGTTCAAAGTTTATATGTTTGTATTTTCCTGGTGGTTTGATGAAAAATGAAAAATACACACAAAAATAAGACTTCAAAAATCATCCCTTTTTGGCCAATTTTCACTGGATTCCCTCACTTTTCTTCCATTTGAATTCAGACAGAGAAACAATCACAAAGCATTTGAGGATTTTTTAAAAATGAAAAAAATTAACCTTATACTTATAAATCTAGAAAACTAATAAGTAAATTTACCCCTAAAAAATCTTGATATACTTCAGTTTTAATCTGGAATGCCAGGTTTACCTTATAACCATGTGACATGTGTTCATTGTTTGTCTGAACATTTTCTTGATCACTTTTGCATTTTTTTGACAAATGAATAATTCTCTAGGAGTTTGCTTATCTCTTTGGTTTTGCTTGGTGATCTTAGCAAGAACACAAAAGGATAAATCAAGATGCCTTTGAACCAATGGCAAAAATCTCATTGACTTTAATTGGACCAGGATCTAGCCATTAGCACCTGGTTTTGCTATTTTTGTATTTCCTAAATAAGAATGGTCATAGTGGGTCAGAATTAAACTCAATCTAGCTCACTCTCCTGTCTTTGGACAATGACCAATACAAGGTACCCCAGAGGGAATGAAAAGAACAGGTAATCATCAAGTGATCCATTCCCTGTTGCTCATTACCAGTTTCTGGCAAAGAGAGGCGAGGGACACCATTCCTGCCCATCCTAGCTAATAGCCATTGATGGACCTATCATCCATGAACCCTGTTATAGTTCTGGTTTTCACAAAATCCTCTGGCAAAGAGTTCCCCAGGTTGACTGCTAATATTTCCTTTCATTTGTTTTAAGCCTGCTGCCTGTTAATTTCATTTGGTAACCTGGTAACAGATAATTGAGACTGTATAATTTGATATGCATATTTGGGATTATGGTTTCACAATTTGCATTATATTGCATTTAACATTGAGTTTCATCTGCCTTTCTGTTGCCTAGTCACCCAGTTTTATGAGGTTTTTTTTTTGTAGTTGGACTTAACCAGCTTGAGTAATTTTGTATCATCTGCACATTTTGTCACCTCACTGTTTATCCATTTTTTTCCAGATCATTTATGAATATGTTGAACAGGACAGGTCCTAATACAGACTCTTGGGCTACGTCTAGACTACATCCTTCAGTCGGTTTCCAGATCATTTATGAATATGTTGAACAGGACAGGTCCTAATACAGACTCTTGGGCTACGTCTAGACTACATCCTTCAGTCGGCAGAGGGATGTAGTCTAGACAGACCCTTGAGGGGGGACCGCTATTTACCTCACTCCATTCTGAAAGTTGACCATTTTAACCAGTTATCAATCCATGAGAAGACATTCCCTCTCATCCTCATCACAGCTTATTTTCCATGGCAGGCAGACTGAATCCTGCATAAGTGTTTCAAATCTGTCCACAGTTAAAATTGAGCAACCCCTATAGAATTCCACAGCAGTTGCACACGTACAGCTGAAGGCAGTTGTGTAACTAACATATCTACTGCTTTTCTTCGTTCTGTCCTCAAATCATCACCTATATGTGGGAGAATCTTACATAAAGAATTTGCCGCTGCTCTTCCTATAGAAGAAATGGGGCAACTTCCACATTCTGGTAGAACCAGTGACAGTGACGCCTGTCCATGTGAGGGTCCTGTGCCTGTAGGCACAGCTGCTGCTCCTCCTCCCAGTTCTCTGGCCCCACAGCATCAATTGGAGAGCCTTTCCTGGGACAAGGAAATGATGTTGTACGAGTAGCATTCTATATCTCTGCCTATGGCAAGTTGTACTAGCTGTATATTTACAAGTCTGATGTGATATCTTTGTTGTCTGTGGGCCACAGAAAAAAGGTGATATGAGGGATTGTCAGCCATATCAGCTGTCTATATTTCTTATTTATATGAGGGACTTGAACTGAAATGATATACATTTGTGTATAGGCCATTTGCAATCGGTGGTTCATGATGATTTTTAATCCAGACTGGATATTATATTAAACAGGACACATAGAGATGAGGGGTTTTGGTGTATCAATAAAGGCAACATGAGGATATTGGAGCAGAGTTAAGACAGTTTGTACAATCTTATCTAGAGATTTGTTCCTCATTTGTATAATCCCAGCACTCTAAAAATGTTGTTCTCAATAAATACATTTATTTATAACCTTAAAATTATCTTAAAGTTTTTTTCTGGGGATGTCCTTAGTTTCTGTACAAACTATATAGACCTTGAAGGCTTTTCTGGCCATGTCAAGCCCAAAAAGTATAAACTTGACTAGCATAATATTTTATGTTTCTTCTTCGAGTGGTTGCTCATGTCCATTCGAAGTAGGTGTGTGCACCGTGTGCACCGCATCTTCTGGAGCGTTTTCCTTAGCAGTACCCCTAGCGCCGGCAGGACGCCCCCTGGAGTGGCGCCGCCATGGTGGGGCATAAGTACCCCTGCCGGCGCTGCCCCACCTCAGTTCCTTCTTACCGCAGTGACGGTCATTGGAGCGTCTCTATCTCTCTTAGTCTATTAGCTAGTTAATGGTTCCCGTTCTCACATTGGTTTGTAAATAGTTCTTGCAGTTAGATAGTTAGGTTCTTTGTTTTGTTCCTTCCCCCTTGGGGGTAAGGAATGCCAGGGCCGCAAGGCTTCAAGACGTGCGCTGACTGCGGGAAGTTTATGCCCAGGGGTGACCCACACGACAGTTGTCTTAAGTGCTTGGGTGAGGCTCATCTCGCTATTGCCTGTAAGGGTATGTCTACACTACCCCCCTAATTTGAACTAGGGGGGGTAATGTAGTCATTGCAAATGAAGCCCAAGATTTCAATTTCCCGGGCTTCATTTGCATGAAGCCAGCCGGCGCCATTTTTAAATGCTGGCTAGTTCGGACTCCGTGCTATGCGGCTACACGCGGCACGGACTAGCTAGTTCGGATTAGGTTTCCTAATCCGAACTAGCTGTACACCTCGTTCCACGAGACGTCGAGGTCTCGGCACCGGTCTCACTCTCCTCTGACTAAGGGTATGTCTACACTACAAAGTTAATTCGAACTAACGGACATTAGTTCGAATTAACTTTGATAGGCGCTACACTAGCGCTCTGCTAGTTCGAACTTAATTCGAACTAGCGGAGCGCTTAGTTCGAACTAGGTAAACCTCATTGTACGAGGACTAAGCCTAGTTCTAACTTACTAGTTCGAATTAAGGGGTGTGTAGCCCCTTAATTCGAACTAGTGGGAGGCTAGCCCTCCCCAGCTTTCACTGGTGGCCACTCTGGCCAACACCAGGGAAACTCTATTGCCCCCCTCCCGGCCCCGGACCTCTTAAAGGGGCACGGGCTGGCTACGGTGCCCGTGCCAGGTGCAAGCCTGCCAGCACCCAGCC